GGCTGAGGGAGGAGTTTGAGGTTGCAGTGAGCTATGATGACTCCACTGCACTCTAGCCCAGGCAATAGTATGAGACTCTGTCTCAAAAATAAAATAAAATAAAACTAGTACAGCTTTATTTGTATTTAATTGTATTAACTTGTTTGCTTTTATTATAAAAGCAATACATATTCATGTTTAAAAGTTTACTTTCACACCATTTATAGAGGAAATGAAATGAAAAGAAAGAGACCTCTCTCTTCATCCCCACCTATATGAATAGCTTTCCATATCAGTATATATAGGTATGCCTCTTTCTCTATGGATGTTCCTTAATTTATTTAACTAATTCACCAATAAAGGATATTTAAATTGTTTCCAGTTTCCTGCTATTGCAATCAGCACCAAAATGAACATCCTTGTGTTTGTATCTTTGAGCACTTATTTAATTATATCTACAGTAAAAATTCCTAGAATTACTTTGTCAAAATGCATTTTACAATTCTGTAGATATTCTTCATGGACCTTAGTAACAGATAAAGCTGGGATTGAATCTGTACTCTGACACTTACTAGCTAAACAAGTTTCTTTATTCATTCTCAGTCTCGGTTTCCTTGGCTGTAAATCAATATAAAATCTATCTCAGAGATATTCATGGATTAAACAACATGTTTAGTTCCTAACGGTTGTTAGTAGTTCACATATACTCGTTTCCTTTCTCTCCCCTTTATTGTTCCTCCCTGGACTTTCAAAGATTTATCAAAGATGCTGTTTCATTTTATGTCAACTAATATTAATATTTACAAAGCATTTAATATATGCAAGGTTTGATAAATGCTGAGGGAACTCTAAATGTCTTTTTTTTTAAAGGCACAGTCCTTTTTGAAGCTTGCACTATTGTACAAGAGAAAAACCTCTCCCAGTTTCTAGCATACAGTAGGCCCTGACTTAACGTGGTTGGAATGAATGAGTAAAGAAAGGAAAGAATGTTGTTGAATGAGTAACACCACGCAGTCTGGAAAAGAGCTCAGTGGAGGTCCTAGCAGCAGAGAGTGGAGCATCGAGTCAAAACTGTTGGAGATGAGGCTTTGCAGAACTTTTCCTCTGAATTTCACCTCAAAACAAGAAAGGCATTAAGGTTGAAGGCCAAATTGAAGTCTTGTGTTTTATCTTAAAACTTCACCTACCATACTGTTTGCCTCCGTGTAAATGGAATTTTTCTCTCCAGTCCTAGGGTGAAATGGACACTCCAACAAAATGTATCATATTATTTGGGTGGGGCTCAACTTCCCCCTGACATGTTTGCAGGGATGTGCACACCCACCCGAGTTTGAGAAGCGTGAGATTAAGACACATGCAGAATGAGCTCTCACTTCACACTTCTCCAGCCATCTCCCCATCTGTCTGTCCCACACACCCACTCACAGCCTCGTCCCTCCCAACTTTCTGCTAAAACTCCCCCTACCCCTCCTCCATCCTGGCTTTGTTTTCCTAACTATTAATAATCTCAGTTTTATGTTGAAATTCTACTACTCAAAATACATTTAAGAAAAATAAATCAGCTACAAAACTCTGCCAATAACATTTGAGGTCATTAAAGTCTCATGGGACAGCCTTCCTTTATCCATAATATGTTCGGTTCTTGGTCTGTCTCATCCCTGTCATCTACGACAATAGACTCTCAGAGGGATGTAGCTTGTTTCATTTAAATCTTGAAAAGCACCCAATTCCCAAACTAATGCCATGGTCAATTAATGTTGCTCGGGTTCTGAGCACGTGGTGAAGTGTCCTCCTGTGTGTTTGATGGACACTGTATATGGAACATATGTTTTGAGTTGCTTCTCCAGAGCTCTGATCTGTCCGCCTTTTCTCCATCCCCACATCTTGTGCTCTAAGTCAGGTCCTCATCATCTCTTGCTTAGATTATTTCTCTAGTTCTCTCCATTGGTCTTCTTGTCTTTCCACTCCACCCTCCTCCAAGTTGCTAGAGGAGGTTTTTTTCTAATGCAGAGGTCAGCCGCACCACTCCCCTGCTTAAAACTTCAGTGGCAGCTGGGCGCGGTGGCTCACGCCTGTAATCCTAGCTCTCTGGGAGACCAAGGCGGGTGGATTGCTCGAGGTCAGGAGTTCAAAACCAGCCTGAGCAAGAGCGAGACCCCCGTCTCTACTATAAATAAAAAGAAATTAATTGGCTAACTGATATATATAGAAAAAATTCCCCGGGCATGGTGGCACATGCCTGTAGTCCCAGCTACTCGGGAGGCTAAGGCAGGAGGATTGCTTGAGCCCAGGAGTTTGAGGTTGCTGTGAGCTAGGCTGACGCCACAGCACTCACTTTAGCCTGGGCAACAAAGCGAGACTCTGTCTCAAAAATAAATAAATAAATAAAATAAAATAAAACAAAACTTAGCTGGCAACAATCTATAACTATACGCAACAACATGTTGCAGTTATAAACTGGTGAAAGAAGCCAGACACACAAAAAGTATCCATGTGAGATAAAGCACAAAACCCAGAAAAACCTATCTGTGGCGTTAAAGTCAGGATACGGGGATACTTGGCAGGGGTACAGAGTAGTAGTGACTAGGGGAAGCACAAAAGGGACTCCCGATAGGTTATTAATGTTCCATTTCTTGATCTGGGTTCTAGGAAAATAGATATGTTCGGTTTGTGAAAATCCATGCAGCTGTACACTTATGTCTGGGGCACTCTGCTCCACATAGATTCCTTTGATGATAAATATAAACAAACAAAAAACATTGGCTGCTCCCCCTTAGCATGATACACGCTCATTCCCATATCTCACACTCATCCCCTCCCCCAATCTTCCGCCCTGTAAACTAGCCACACCAGATGACCCTGTGCTCTCCAAACAGTGCATTTCCAGCTTTCTCCCTATGCTGCTCTCTTGCAACAGCAAGACCTTCAGTTAAAAGTCAACTCGGCCTTTGAGGCCCCACTCAAGCACCACCTCCCCCATGAGATTTCTTCCTGACCACCCTGGGCAAAATTAATGGTTATTTCTCTGCACTTCCATAGGACTTTGTGTTTCCTTTCCTACAGGGCAGTGACCAGACTTTGCGCATTAAAAAAAAAAAAAAAAGACAGAATGCATGCTCTAAAAAGTATGTTATTCTTAATGGGTCAGTAGGATAGAATACTGGGATCAAAATGGCCTGGAAAGTCCAGGCTATGTATAACACATTGTATTATATTAATAGTAATGTCTCTGGATTTGTCTCTCCATCTAGACCAGAGAGGTTCTTTGTGTGTGTGTGTGTGATACAGTCTCACTCTGTTGCCCAGGTTAGGGTGCCGTGGCGTCAGCCTAGCTCACAGCAACCTCAAACTCCCGGGCTCAAGAGATCCTCCTGCCTCAGCCTCCTGAATTGCTGGGACTACAGCCTCATGCCACCACGCCCAGCTAATTTTTAGTATTTTTAGTAGAGATGGGGTCTCACTCTTGCTCAGGGTGGTCTCAAACTTCTGAGCTGAAGCTAGCCTCCCACCTCAGCCTCCCAAAGAGGTAGGCTTATAGGCATGAGATACCTCGCCCAGCCCAGAGAGACTCTTAATCCTTTCTGTGTCATGAACCCCTTTGGCAGATTTAGGAAGGCCCATGGACCTCTCTTTTGTAAATAAATTTTTACTGAAGTACAACAACTACACATGCATAAATCATGTACAGCTCAGTGCAATTGTACAAAGTGAATAAATTCATATTGCTAGCATCTGGATCAGTAAATAATTAAACCAAAAGCCCCATGCACCCCCTCCCAACTGCCACCACACGAAAGCGTAAACTATCTTAACTTCTAACACCAGAGATTAGTCTGTTTTTAAATTTTATGTAAATGGAATCGTGTAGTATGTTCCCTTTTTTGTCTGGCTTCTTTTGCTCAACCTTACATTTGTGAGATTCATCCTTGTTGATGTAGTGATTGTTTATTCATTCTCATCTCTTGGTGGTATTTCCTTGTATGAATGTACCACTACTGGTTTATTCATTTTTCTCTTGATGGAAATTTAGTTTGTTTTCAGTTTTGTATTTAATGAGGAGTGCTGTATACAGTGTTGTGAACATCCTCACACATGTAATATAGTATGTATATGTATTCACTTCGAAACACTTTTTAAATGTGTAAAATAAAATACATAGGAGCACAAAAAATAATTAAATTAACATATAGTTTCCACAAAATAAAACAAAATTTGAGACAGAGGTATATATGTGCTTCGTGATTAACACAATTCCTACCAGTGAGTCTAATAACTATTATTTTGAAGCAATGATGTGCATGAATGAAATTTCAAAATTTTTACCAAACTATAATATGCTACAAAAATGTCTGTGATTTCTGTTGGTGACAAAGGCATGCATACTGTGAACATTTCTGTGATTTGTTGTATACATTTATTTATTTATTTATTTGAGACAGAGTCTCGCTTTGTTGCCCAGGTTAGAGTGAGTGCCGTGGCGTCAGCCTAGCTCACAGCAACCTCAAACTCCTGGGCTCAAGCGATCCTGCTGCCTCAGCCTCCCGAGTAGCTGGGACTACAGGCATGTGTCACCATGCTCGGCTAAACTATATATATATATATTTTAGTTGGCCAATTAATTTATTTCAATTTTTATAGTAGAGACGGGGTCTCACTCAGGCTGGTTTTGAACTCCTGACCTTGAGCAATCCGCCCGCCTCGGCCTCCCAGAGTGCTAGGATTACAAGCGTGAGCCACCGCGCCCGGCCTGTTGTATACATTTATAATTGAAGGAAATATTAAATTTCAGTTGGAGGTTAGCAGAAAATAGACATGTGACTTTTCTCCCCCATCCAAATTCAGGAAGCCCCTGAATTCTCTTAGATTAAGCACCTCCGATCTAGACTACCCCCTCAACAGCAAGGATCATATCCCAACCATATTAAAAATTCAGAATCTGGCACAAAACTTGGCACACAGTACAGTATGTGTCAATAAATATTTTTTGAATGACAAACTCATGAATGACAATAGCTAACATATTTTGAGTATGTAATATGTGCCAGGTGCTATCCTAAGCACTTTGAATGTTCTTAAATCCTCATGACAACCTTTTGATTACTGCCCCATTTTATTGATAAGGAACCAGAGACTTGGATAACTTATGTAACTTGCCAAGGTTTTACAGCCAATCAGAGTCAGGCCAGGAATTCAAACTCAAATATTTCTGACCTGTAAGCCCCCAGCTAACTGTCAATGTCTGTGTTTTACTGCTGACAAATGAATAAAGAGATAAATGAATAAATGAATGAACAAATGAATAAACATAACCAACTATACTGTCTATTCCACTAATCTTTATAACTAGTGGAATAATTTCAAGAAGCAACTGGCTGGAACTAGTGATGCAGCATGGTTGTTGAAGACTGTTTCTTTGTGTGAGGCAGTTTGGCCCCTTGAAAAGAATTAAACCCAAGTGCTCATTAACACCGTTCTTTAATCAAATGAACTGGCATCTAGCAAACGTTAGATGACAGATGTTTACAGTGCCGAGCTTTAGTAGGCAAGCTCCTGAGCCCCAGAGCTTTAATCATAGCGACCAGTACTTAGCTCCAAGTGCACACATCAGGCTGTTTGTGGAAAATTATCTGATGACCAAATCGCACCTCCTTTTAAGGAAAACACTCAGAATAGTCACACTCCAGTTATGACATTTTACCCCATCTGAGGGACATAAAAATGTCAGGGGTTCCAGATTCCTCTCTTGTCTTGACAGCTTAGATAGGTGGGTATCTTTATAGGGGATTAAACCAGATGGTTTTTCAGTTCTGAGATTCTTTTTATCCAAAGGAAACAGATCAACTTTAATCATTTCCCTTGAAAAGGTATTCTTCAAGTAAGGACTCCTGAAATTTAAGAAAAGGTAACCCAGTGCTTAAACATTTATTTATGAATTTAACTATTCTTATTTTACTGTTTTTGAAAATGATGTAAATAATATTTACACATGCATTCAAATGCATTCAAATATATAGGCATTTAAAGTAAAAATCAGAATCCTCTCACCCTCCAAACCCCCTCCTCAGAATTGACTATCTTTAACACTAACAGTTTCATGTATAGAAACTTTTCCAAACTTTTTTCTAAATACATACACCATATATTTTTATATATATGCTCACATAAATACGTGCACACACACATATAGTATATGTACACAAATATAGCATTACTGTTAGCATATTGGTCTACCATCTAATTTTTTCCTTAGCAATATCTCATGGACATCATGCCAGATCAACAACCTGTTTCTTCAAGGCTACACAGTATTCCAATTTGTGGGTCCATTATAACTGCTTTTACAAGTCTCCTATTAAAAGCTTTAGATTGTTGTTTCTTTTGTTTGCTATTGGAAACCACATGGCAGTGAACATCCCTGTAACTATCTTGCTTAAATGTGCATGCAAGGATTTCTATAGGGTAGCTTCATTTCCATGGATTTTCCTGGTCAAAGAGTCGCATGTTTTAATTTTTGATAGCTATGGCCAAGTTCAAGAGGAGATATTCTGAAGCTTCTCATCCTAGGGAAACTCTCTATGAGGTTTCAACTGACTGTGCGATCCACACCTCTGGGTTATCTCATTTCTAAACTCACAAAATTCCTTTGACTCCAGTAAAGTTAACATGTTCTCTGCATTGCTACAGTCTTTCCTCTTAGGGCACATTTAGCTCCTATCCAAACCACCCTTTATTTCAGAAGCTTCTCATGTTTCAAAGTAAAGATTAAACTCCACATCCACTGTGGGGTTTTTTCTAACTGGTTAGCACACACATGCATACAATTTCATTGAGTCCATATTCAAACTTCCTTCTTCTTTTCTAATTATACAAGCAAAAGAATAGGTGGACTTATTGGGGAGGGAAATGCAGGGCAATATATAAAAAATTATTACCTATTTAGGACTGGAACAAGGGAAAAGTTGAGAACATTTCAGAACATACCATTATAACAAGAACCTGAAATCGTGCCATAAACTCCTGAGGCCTCAATAAATATTGATTTTATTATATTCCAAGAAAAAGAATCTGCTTAATAGTCATTTTATCAAATGACTATTTGATAGTCATGAAATAGTCATGACTATTTGATAGTCATTTGATAGTGAAAATGAAAAGTCATTTTCACTCTCTATGAAAAGGCATTTTATAGAAATAATTCTAATCTTCCCCAAAATGTTGTCAGGTAGGTTTCAATATGTCCATCAGACAGATGAGGAAACTGAGCTTCATAGACCCAATGCAATTTGCTCAAGATTTCACAGCTAGTGAAGTGCTCAAGATGGGGTCCAGACTTAAGGTCAACCGATTTTCTTTCCTCGGTACTACATTGTCTCTCCTGTCATTTAAGTTGCCAATTCAGAACTTCATAAAGGAGAATCAAGAGGAGCAACCAACAGAGGTGCTGAGATGCAGACCCTAGCTCAGGATAAGGAACATAAGAAGACAGGTACCCTTTCATGGGTGGTTGGGCCACTGGTTATCTGTTAGGAATTACGTAAATTATCTTCCTGTAGTGGATCAGAGGTCGGATCAAATAACTTCTGAGTTCTCTTCCAAATCTACAAACATATAATTTGACTCCCATACCCTTTTCACAGGTAGGGAAACAGGAGTTCAGAATCATTAAGTGACTTGCTCAAGTTCATAGCTAACTAGTATAGAACCTGAGCATGGTGGTGACTCTTCTGCTGACCTTTTCACTAGAATATATCTACTTCCAAGTTTGTTAGACTTATCTAGCATATAGTCCACACAATCTTGAATCCCTTTACTCACTTGTTTGTGACTTTGGCTAACCTAGGTCCCACCTTGATATCCTACAACAAAATATGATCAGGAAAGAGAGTGTCACACTTTTATTTTCCCTTCCTGTCTCTTCTAAAGGAAGAGGCACAAGGGGCAGTCTGGTGCAGGACCATTTGATGTCACCAGACATCACCCTACATCTTTTGAGGGTTTTTTTTCGGTTTTTTTTTTTTTTTTTTTTGAGATAGTGTCTCACTCTGTTGCCCAGGCTAGAATACCATGGTGTCAGCCTGCCTCACAGCAACATCAAACTCCTGGGCTCAAGCAATCCTCCTGCCACAGTGTCCCAAGTAGCTGGGACTACAGGCATGTGCCACCATGTCTGGCTAATTTTTCTATTTTTAGTAGAGACGGGGTCTCACTCTTGCTCAGGCTGCTCTTGAACTTCTGAGCTCAAGCAATACTCCCACCTCTGTCTCTCAGAGTGTTAGGATTACAGGCGTGAGCCACCGCACCTGGCCTCACCCTATATTCTTTTATGCTTTGGCTTCCTAATCCAGTAATAAAAGGATTGATGCTATATGTAAAGAAAGCAATGGCATGGGAGAATGGGAGAACAGGGGCTGGAATACTCCCAGAAAATACAAAAAGCCAAGCCCAACCACAGGTACATCCTATAAAAACTCTGGCAATCTTTTTAAAAGCAGTCAGGGTTGTATCAATTCTATCATCCCATTTTGTGGAAAACAAAAAGTAAAAAGACTAATAAGGGTCTCCAAGAAACCATCACCTTTGGGGCTGAAGCAGGTTGGGCCATGGCCAGACTTCAGGGAGGCTGGTTGGTAAATCCAAACTGTATTTGAAGAGCTCCTGAATGTTTGAGAGTAGCTTGTGTGATTTATGTGCCACCCCCACTCCATTCCTGGGTCACTTCCAGATTCAAGTCCCAGGCTGGTCGCTCAGTCACTTCCCTGGTGGAGAAGGGGAAACACCTATCAGGAAAAGAACCCACCCTTCTGAGAGAGAGTGCCACCCACTCACTCATTCCAAATTCACTGTAATAAAGTACAAACTGAATTTGAAAACCGAGGCCCTTGCTCATGCTTTTGGAAACTTGACTCAGATTAGATCCTTAAATTCTTACTATTGAACTTAATGTAAAATCTGAGTAAGTAAATTTCTGTAAAGGCTGCTGGAAAGGCTTACCATTGGGTTAAAAATTAACATCCAAGCAATTTGACTCCTGGGAAGCCTATTTATTTTGATTTCCTGGTTCAGGTAGTTTTCAAAATGTAATTTTAAGCATACAAAGTGAGGTTTAGAAGGGCCTCAAATGCAGGCAGAAGGAAAGACCCAGGTGCTGTTTCATTAATTGGCCAAGAAATGTTGGAAGGTGGTAAAGAGAAGTTGAGAGCCCAGTTCTAGAACTGTTGTGTTGCCGGGATTCAAAACCCTACCACTGCCCCTTACCTGCTCTTTGACCTTGGGCAAATTACTTAACATCTCAGCGCCTCAGTTCCATTGTTTCTAAATAGGTATCTTAGGACAATACCTCATGGAGCTGTAAGAATTAAATGAAATAATCTACATTATAAAACACTTAAAGTAGTACCTAGCACATAGTGAGTGCTCAGCAAATGTTAGTAATACTATTATATGTTTTAATGGTAAGAATAGTGATTCCCTCCACACCCATTTGAAATGAAAATGATTCACCATGCAGAATCAATATTGTTTTATACCTAGATTTTGTTGTTATGTTTGGTTTTGACAAATAGCAACCGCTATTAAAAATAAAAAATAAAAAAATCAACTAGACTGGTTTTCACATTTGATCTCTATTATACTGCATATAGTCGCAAGTGATTAGATTTCATTTTTATTAGTCTTGTTAAACTATAACATGCTTGTTATCTCTCCCTGGGTGTGGTTCACACTCAGAAATGCTGTTGGCTTTGTTCAGTATCCTATCTGTTGTTACTTAATTTCAATAATCACTTCCAATGAGATTGTGAGAAACTTGTCTTGTTCAGAAGTCTTACTGTTCATAAGACATGAAGTAAGTCATTAATTTCTTAGAGTCTTAAAGAGTTATAGGTCTTTTTTAAAAGTCGGGGAAGGAGGGAGGTCAACAAATGACTAGGATTTAACTCAAATGATTACAAGGACAGGATGTTCTTTTTTTTTCCCCCCTCGGGGCCACAGAAGGAAATGAGAACTAAATTTAATGTTGTGAGTTCCCATGTTCATAAATTGATATATTAGGTTTATGTGTCCTAGTAATTATGCCCTGCTTTGGAAAGCCTTCCCCTGAAAGTTTAATCTGAAGGTAGAAATTCAGTATCTGGGAGAGCCAAGTAGAAACTATGAAATGGCAGTGTTGAGAGTTTCCAGCAAGGTATTTATCTCATGTGTAAACTTTCCTTTCCACCTCAATGGTGGGAATGATGTCAAGCCATGGTGCCCTTCACTCTACTCTGCCTCATGAAGTGTGCTTTTTAGGCTCTGCTATCAGACATGTACACTTTAGTGAAAATTTAGGTCAATTTAGTTCAAAGCTTTACCTCTAATTGTAGATCTCAAGGTTTTTATTGCTGTGTCACAGATTATATTACAAGCAACCGAGATCACTCTAACTAACTTAAGCAAGGCAGGAATTTATTGGAAGAATAAAGTGCAGGGCTCATAGAATTGAAGGAAAAGCTGAAGAATCAGGCCTGCAAAAGACAGGAGCCAAGTCAGTTCTGTGAGATCTTTGAAGCACTATCTGATCACATTTTCTTCGGGACCCTCCCTTGAGTGGAACTCTGATCATCTTAAGTCTTTGTGTTGCTCAAGATCCAAATGCCGGGGTAGTTTTTCTGGCTTGGAGCCAACCCCATATCTCAGGTGAGGGCAGGGTGCTAAGACTGAAGCCATGGGGTGAGAAAAGGGTTCCACAAAGGAAGATTAGAGCACTCTTACTGGAAAAGAAAATGGATGCTATGCAAACAGAAACATAAATTTACTACAATCACCCATTAGGGGAATTTCACTTACCTGTAAATAGGGACACTTTGGTGACGTGATCAAAGAAGAGGACTGTGTTGCTGCCCTTCAAATCCCAGCACTTAGAGAGCCGTTGTTCTTCACTGATGGATCCTACTAAAAGACTCTTTCCTGGTCTTCAGTGACAGTCTATAAGTCAAATAAAACAGAAGAAACTCTAGGATTCGTTCACGGGTTTTCTCTCAAAAGCTTTTAAATAAATCATTTGACTATGTTTGAAAATACCATTGAATTTTTTTTTTTTTTTGAGACAGAGTCTCACTCTGTTGCCTGGGCTAGAGTGCCATGGCATCAGCCTAGCTGATAGCAACCTCAAACTCCTGCGCTCAAACGATCCTCCTGCCTCAGCCTCCCAAGTAGCTGGGACTACAGGCATGCGCCACCATGCCCAGCTAATTTTTTCTATATATATTTTTTTTTTAGTTGGCCAATTAATTTCTATTTTTAGTAGAGATGGGGTCTTACTCTTGCTCAGGCTGGTTTCCAACTCCTGACCTTAAGCGATCCGCCCGCCTCAGCCTCCCAGAATGCTAGGATTACAGGCTTGAGCCATCACGCCCAGCCTCCATTGAATTCTTAAAACCATGATTTGCAGTCTTTTAACAAAAAGGCCACTGAAATGTGGTTTCTAAGGTGAAGATTTGAACAAACATTGATACATCTAAACCACTGATTTAGCTTGTAGTCCACCACCTACCTACAGTGCTGGCTAAATATGCAGTTCCTGAGCACAACCCCAGACCTACTTCAGGGAGTTTGGTGTGAGGGGGCTGATTCTAAATTTTTAGTAAGCTACCCTGGTGATTTTGATGTGCACTTAAGTTTGAGAACCACTGAACCAGACTCAATAAATTCCAATATTTATTGAGCATATACTCCATGTCAGGCACTGTTCTAGACTCTAGAGATACAACAATGAACATGTTAAACAAGGAACTTGCTCTTTTGAAGAGTCTCATGGGGAGGAAATTAATAGTGAATATGTACAAAAAATTAATCAATAAAATAATTACAGAGTACAATATGTACTCTAAGGAGGAAAAAGAAGGTAATCTCAAACTTAACAAAAGTGTTTACTTTTATCCGTCACAATTTCTTCTCATGTCTCAGATAATGGAGTCACCAACCACCCAGATGCTCATGCCAAAGACCTGGACAGCAGTCTGGATTGATTCCTCTTTTCCCCTCCTGCCACGTGCACTCTATCAGCAAGTCACGTCAGCTCTACCTCCAAAATACACCCAAGACCATCCACTTCTCCTCTTCTCCACGGCTGCCTCTACAACAAGACCCCATTTCTTCTTGTATGAATGGCCTCCTAACTGGCTTCCAGGTCTCTAATCAGGTCTCTCTAGAGTTCATTCTGCACACAGCAGCCAAAAGGAAATTTCAAAATTGCAAATGAGACTTAATCCTCCCTTTGCTTAAAGTCAAGCTCCTCACCCTGATCTACTAGGCCCACCTGATCTGGCTCTCTGGCCCCCACGCCCCCCCCCCCACTCCGCTAGCCTGTCTGTCCCTTGATCACAGTGCTCAACCACCATGTCTTTCCCCCAGTCCCTCAGACATTCTAAGGTTGCTCCTGCCTCATGACCTTTGCACTTACTAGTCTCTCCAGCAGCCAACTACAGATCATTCAGGTTTCAGCTCAAATGTCACCTCCTCAAAGAGGCCTTCTTCATCCATCTAAACTATAGCAGCACCCTATCCTCACCCTTTCTCTATTAATATAATTATATATTAAACATTAATTATTAAAATAGAAAGTATTAATAAGGCAGTTATTTATTGAATGTTTACGCTTTGCTAAGAGCTTTAAAGTTATTAAAATATGTGGTAATTTTGTAATCCAGTTGTTTCATACATATGTGTTTTATTTCCCAGCTAGATGTTTAGGGCATAGGCTATATCTTAAGGTTTTTTATAATCTTTCCATTGCCAGTCTAGTGTATTGTTCATAACAACTGCTCAAGAACTATTTGTTGTGAATAATAAAATGATTGATAGCTCTGAGATTTAGTGACTTGTATGTCAGAATATAAGCTGATCTGAAAAAGCAGATCGATTTGGTTTGTAATCATTGTCTAAAAACTTGGGTTTGGATATGTTAGTGGCTTAAATTGTGTGCTGGTGTAAGATCTGCCTTCCATTCATTCAATAAATCCTTGTGAGCACTTATTATGTGCCACACTGTATTACAGACAACTAGTAAAGGCTTCTAAAATAGGGAGATTATGGCACTCACTTGTCAATATTCCTGGCATGTTTATAAATTTCACTTTGGCAGTTGCTTATTCCTCCCAGGAAACTGGCTCATATTTTGGAATCTAAGCACTTAGAGAATATACAGAACATATAGCATGATGAACAGTTAGGCTCTGGAGTCAGAAAGCCTGATTTTGAATTCTAGCTCTGCCAATTCTTTGCTTTGAGATCCTGGGCGAGTTACTTGTCCTTTCTAAGGCTCAGTTCCTTCACCTGTAAAATGAAAATAATAATACAATAGTACCTCTTAGCACAATCAGGATCAAAATAATAAAATGATATTAATAATAATAATAATAGTACCTCAAAATAATAATAATAATAATAATAATACAATAGTACCTACCTTTAAGGGTCATGATAGTCAGGAAATGAAATAATGCATATGAAATATCCAGTACTGGCATATTATAAGAACCCAAAATTATAGCTATCATTAAATCATTAGTTCACATTACACTACCAAACATACCAAGAACACTAGATAAGAAAAATGCATGTAGAAAGTAATTTTTGAACCAGGAGGGAGGAAATGAACATATACTTAAGTTCCATTATGTATCCTGTTCTAAGCAAATAACTGCTGCAAATAAGATGATTCTAACAAGAGGCATAATATGTAGTATGGAAAAATTCATAGGCATTAGAACAGAAGCTCTCCATGTATCATTTAATCCTCTCAGCAACACTGTTAAACAAGTATTATCTTACAGATGAGGATACTAGGATTCAGAGAGGTTAAGCATTTTGCCCAAGTTTATGCAGTTGAAAAGGTACAACCAGGACTGTCTGTATCTGAATTCCTCTCACATAATGAAAAAGGAGCCAACTGCATTTCACTCATCATGTCCCTGAGATTCCTCACACATTGCATTGTTTCTGTGGGATAGCAGTGCTCAGACTGCTGCACATGAAAATCACCTGGGGTGTTTTAAAAATCCTTAATCCAGGGCCTTATCATAAAAGCTTCTAATTCAGTAAATTTGGGAGAGGGACTATGAACCAGCATTTTAGGAAACACTCCAAATAGTTCTGTTGCAGGTAGTTCCTAACCACATTCTAGAAATACTGTCATGAGGATTCAAACACCTGGTTTTAAGATCATGTAATATACATATTAGAGATTAGCAGCTGAAGTGTTAAGACACATGACCATGTGATGAAAAGATGTGTATGCAACTGAAGTCTTTTAGGTTTCACACAGCGATTGTATCTTTTGCATTCATCTTACAGTTTCTCTACACAGAAACTGGTGACTCTTAAATTGAGTTCATATGAGTTTTTATGTCCTACATATGATGCCCCTCATTAGAATCATCTTATTTGTAGCAGTTATTTGCTTATTTATTTAGCCATGATATTTTAAGACACCAAATAGAAAATGAATAAATAATGACAAACACTTACAAAAGAAGACCCTGAGGGCGGTATTTCTTTAAAGTTACAGAAATTTATCAGGCCTGATTATTTAAACAGTTGTATCAGGATCTGTCAGATATTTTACTGAGGTAATTTCTTTAAAATAAACCATATAGGTCACATAGTGCTAATAAAACATGTTGATGAGTCCTTGAGTGTTGCCCTGATTATGTTTCCTTGGGGAATGGAGAACTCATTAGCATGAGTTCCATGTCAGTCCTCCCTGCCTTGTTCCCCAAGTACTTTCCAGACGGGCTTGGCATAAAAGGGTGATCAAAATGTATGTAGCATGGCCAAGTTTCAAATGAATGGCTCATCTAACCCCACTGATTAAATACATGACATTACATAGTATGAAAAGGCTGTTGTGCTTCATTAAGTTTACTTTTCTGAGAGCTTTAAAAAGGTAAATTTTGGGGGGTGGGATAGCAAGAGGATTCTATAAATTCTTGGCTTTTCATGTTCAACTGCAGATGCCTATTTCCCAATCCAGGAGAAAATCCTCAGAGCTGAGAAGTTGTTAAATTGGGAGCAGCAGTGTGTGTTGAGAGACAGAGAGAGAGAGAGAGAGAGAGAGAGAGAGAGAGAGAGAGAGAGAGAGAGAGAGAAACTTGTTTGTTTTCTGAAACAATAAGTAGTAAAACAGGTTGTTTAGGGTAAAGTCCCTTGAACTAGGTAATTAATTTAAAATACATCTGCCTATAATAATACCTTATATTTACATAGTGCTTTGAAAAGTTCAAAGCATTTTTATATTTACTATCTCATTTCAGTTTCACAATGCCCTATGAAGTAGGTAGGTACAGAAGGTATTATATAATCTACTATCACCACTTTAAAAATGGCTAAACTGAGGCAGAAGCATGTCAAGAAACTTGTTTAAGGTCACCTAACCAGTTGGTGTCACAACTAGAACACCAGAATTTTGAAACTTAAGCCTGTGTTTTCTTGGCAGAAAGTGTCTCTGCTAACTGCTTGATCTATCCAGAGTTCATGTGGAGATTTGTGGCTACAATTAAATTGTAGCATACAAATCAGGCATGCCTAAAGAGCTCTACAGAAAAGAGATTGTTTCTTTTAGATCATGACTGTGTTAGAAAAGGGAGGTAGAGAATGGAGTCAGTTGTTTTGGACAATGCAAATTAAAAACAAACAAAAACACTTTGTAATCAGTTTCTGGATATTTTGGGGGCAATTCATTCATTAAATTGTGTATTCATTTTTTAAAGAGGCTATTAAGTGCCTTTATATAAGAGACTGTGCTTAGCACTTTGGGAAGATATAAAGAAATGCATTTAATTTGTGTGGGGGTGCTTTGAATTATATAGGTAATCACCACTTTATTCACTGTTCATTACCACCTGGTAGATGAAATGAATAAGCCCTCCTTGCAGAGAAGCAAGGTAAACAAAAACAGATGAAGGACACTGGGCAACTAATTTCCTTCAATTCTCTCCCTGTAGGAGGCATTTTTTTAAATCAAGGTGATAAATTTCCTGCCAGATACACAAAACACCAAGTTTGCTATGTCATGCAACATAATACAAATTTTAACCCTAATGCTTCCTTGAAACTAGGGAGACTGGGTTTAGGTTAGTACCAGGGTCTCTATCAGTTATACTGGCCCAGGATTTAAGGGAAAATGTTAGCATCTAGCCCAAAGCTTTCAATATCCAAAAATCTTCTCTGAAGGCCAGAAATAAGTCTCTACAATACTTTCCCCTACCTGGCTCCAGATGAACTTTTCCTCTTGGCAGGCCTGCTTGAGGAGGGTGTAGACAAAAGGAAACAGAGGCACCAATGGATGCAAGGAAACAACCAGCAGAGCTGTTGAAGACCCCGTCATTTGATTGGAAGATAAACAAGTTTACCCAATAGGTATGGTTGGTTTCTCCAGAGGTCATTTTTTTAAAACATTCCCGGGAAATTTCTTCACTTTCCAGCACAAACACCTCCAAACCTGAAGGCAAAATTTTAGTTAATACTTATACACAATATGAGTAGTTGTTTGATATACTTCTTTGGTTTATACTATTAGTATAAGTACACAAATAGTGTCATTGAGTGAAACTACTTTTTCTGTTGTTGTGACAGGTCCTGCTCAGCCCCTAGAGTAGGTGTGTGAAATAGAGTGGGTGTTTGTTCATACCTATTGTTTATCTGCCTTGTGTGTGTGAGAAGAGTGGGGACTTGGAGTTAACCCCAGGTCTGTCCCTCACACTGTCCCCATTTTGCTTCTCCAGGTTTCCATGTTTTTCACATGTAAAATTATAAGCTTGGAGTAGTAGGTGAGCTCTAAAATCTGTTCCAACTCTACCATCCTATGATGCTCTAGTTTTAAAATACATTTAAGTTATTCTTTAACATACGTTATAGTATTTAAGTCAATCAGTATTCTATTGTTTTTTTTTGTTTTTTAGAGCCAATCTTTCTGTTGCCTAAGCTGGAGTGCAGTGATGCCATAATAGCTCACTGCAACCTCAAACTTCTGGGCTCAAGTGATCCTGCCACTTTAGCCTCCTGAGTAGGTAGGACTACAGGTGTATGCCACCAGGCCAGACTAATTTTTTAATTTCTTGCAGAGATGAGAGTCTTGATATGTTGCCCAAGCTGGTCTTGAACTTCTGGCCTCAAGCAGTCTTACCTCCTCATCATCCTAAAGTGCTGGGATCACAGGCTTGAGCCACCATGCCCAACTGTCATTCAGTATTCTTAACAAGATAGTAAGGTTTTGCTTTAGGAAAATCAGTCATTGTAGGGTACAAAATCATAATTCAGGTAGAATTAAGTTTATTCACTTTGCAAAGTAATTATTTGATTTGTAAAATAATTTCAGAATGGTGACACATAACAAACTGCTTATGCATTTAATATAAAGATTTACATTCAATCCAAGTTTTCAGGAAAAGTAATTTAGAGTGAGACATACTTGCATGAAATAACAAAATTATAAATATATGAATGCAGCCGGGAGTGGTGGCTCTCGCCTGTAATCCTAGCACTCTGAGAGGCCGAGGTGGGCAGATTGCTCGAGGTCAGGAGTTCGAAATCAGCCTGAGCAAGAGTGAGACCCTGTCTCTACTATAAATAGAAAGAAATTAATTGGCCAACTAATATATATAGAAAAAATTAGTGGGGCATGGTGGCGCATGCCTGTAGTCCCAGCCATTTGGAGGCTGAGGCAGCAGGACTGCTTGAGCCTAGGAGTTTGAGGTTGCTGTGAGCTAGGCCGATGCCATGGCACTCACTCTAGCCTGGGCAACAAAGCTAGACTCTGTCCAAAAAATAAATAAATATATGAATGCCATAAAATCACAGTATTTTGGAATGCTAATATACCCTGGGCAATTTCAACCCAACTTCCTCATTTTACAAAATATGGAACTAAGGACCAAATAAGGTTAATTACTTGCTCAAGATCACACAGGTACATAATTTAAAAAGAAAAGAAAAGAAAATCAATGGCAGAATATTTTCCATATTTTTCTCTATTCAAATTTTGAGACCACACCTCTTCATTTAGTTATGAAGAAAAAAGTCATAGATAGTCAGTGCTTAAATCTAGGAATATTATTAAAAATAAAATTTAAGGTTATAATGCAGATTCTTGTGTGTGGATACATCACACTTTAATAGTGTAAATAGTTGATTCACATGCATCTAAAGTCAGTTAATCCATTTGAGTTTCTTCATTTTGCTGAGTTTTGAATTGCCACTGAAATAGCATAGTACTCTGCTATTATTTTATAAAATTATTTTGGATATTATTTTCAAATTTTTTCTATAAATAATATTGTGATTTTTATAACACGTGAGAACACATTGAAATATGTCAGTAATATATTTTCAAATACCAGCATTCACTGAAACTCCAGGTATGCTTACAGGAGTTAGTAGGACTTGAATCCACTGCTCCCAGTTACATAAATGAGTTTTACTTTATGATTCTTTTCATTCTTGTATTAAATACTAAATAGCCTCCCTTTGTACAATTATCATTTTAGTACGACTAGAAATTAAATATTAGCACAAGTTACTGATCAGTTTCAGGGCACAGAGTTTTATTTTTGCCACTAACTCCAATGTTCAAAGTTAGCAGGTTTCTTTAAAGCTAGTGCTGCTAGCATTTCATTGACTCTTACTAAAATCGGCGCTTCCATCCCTCGATCACCCAGTTAATTTTAACCTTGACCTCCCACAGCTGTACTGCTTTATTCAGTCCAAAAAAACTCCCTGATTCCACTCTTTCTGCCTCTTATGAAGCAATAGTGGAGAGGAAAAACAAAACCCATTCCTTTAAGAACGATTCCGCCTCCTCTCCTATAAAGCAAGCGCCTAATGGTAATTGTGGAGTCTCTCTGCTAAGTCACACACTTTACTACTCAGCGTTGGGCGAAGCTGCTGCTGCTGCTGCTGCCGCCGCCGCCGCCGCTGGTCTGAGGCTGCAGTGGGTTTCTGTGCAGCACTGCAGAATCCACACCTAGAGAACAGGAGACACGCACACGCACGGCTACCACCCTGGGCACAAGGAAGCTTTGGATCTTCAGCGGGTAAGCAGATCTTTTATCCATTTTGTCCAGAAACTGTGGGCAAGGGAATAATCATGGAAAAGACTGTTCATCAGACGTGCTTAAAATGGATTAATTTGTCTTCTTTTGGTGGTGACGGTGGGGGTCTAGATTTGTGACTGACAAATGCCTTGTATCGTGGAGACTATATTCTGATTTGTGCCCTTAGCATACTTTTTTTGCTATTCATAAAAAGGCTAATCTTGATTGCATGCAAAGCTTTTTTTTTTTTTTGCTTTTTAAATGCAAGAAAATATACAGCCACTCCCAATATCTCTCTCAAATACTGCAGATATTTTTAAATGCCGAATGAAATGTCAGGCTGAGCATTTTCTAAATATTGTTTTCTCCCGAAAGCTAGGAAGCCTCCCCCCCCATGATTCTTTAGGAGTATTTAAAAACAATAAGGCATGGTTGGATTTTGAGCAAATGGCATGATATGGTGGTAGACTAAAATTTCTATAGCCTTAGTCCAGTGGAGAGAGAAAAACGAGGATAAATGAATCACAGTTAGTGCCAAGACAAGATTCATTTTCAACACTTCATATGTGGGAAGAGGAAACTACATTTTAATTAGCACATTTTTAGGGAAGAGGGAGGGGATGCAGAGGAGGGGGATAGTGTGAGGTATTTGAGGGGGAAGAGTCTGCAGATGAGGAAGGAAATGAAGTGGACTGTCGCTAGTGCCTTGGAAACGAAGGGAGATAAGGGTGGGGAAAGAAGTTTGTTGTGTGCGTTCGGGTGGGGTTGACCCAAGGGACCATGAATCACGGGAATGATGCTCCCAGGGGTGTGCTTGCGGGGGTACTCGTGCCCGCGGAGGACATGCGTGCCAGAGGGATGTGCAAGTCGTGGGTGGCAGGGGAAAGTGTGCGCTGCTGGGAGGTCTATTTCGAGAATAGGCTGGGATGAGAAACGCGTCTGGGCGACGGGGGTGGGCGGCCCAGTGTCACCTGTGGATGCATCCACAGCCCCGCGATTGCCTGTGGCAAAGTTTGCCGGGCTCCGGATTCATTTTGAAGGCTGCAGGCGGTGCCTCGACTTTTCACCTCAAAGAGGTCAGCTCTCATAAGGCTAAGAGGCCGGGGGCCAAAGTGGGAGTGAAGACCGGTCGAAATGGAGGCCGGTGCAAATGGAAAGCCCCTGCTCTGGCCCTCTGAGGAGGTGAGTGGGCGGAGGAGGCGCCCCCAAAAGCCACTAAGCCGAGGAAAATCCAGGCCCCTCCTGTGGGGGGCGTGCGGAGGCTGAACCTTACAGTGCCTCCCGCTGAACACCCAGCAGCCGGTGTGGGCGGCAGAGGCTGACTGAACGCGGCGGCCCAGCCTCGGGAGTGGGGGGGCTCGTTCAGGTTAGGGCGGGAGACGTTTCCGAGGCGCCCCGCCTCCCCTTCGCGGTCGGGTTTCCGTCGGGGTCGTTTCCCACTCTGGCCCTCAGGGGACGCCGCGGGTTCTAGCTGCATAGCCAGAGGAGGACGCTGAAGAGGCGCCAGGCGGCCGCCCAGAAGAAGGCCCTCCCCGCTGCCTGGCCCGTAGGCCCCCACCGCCGCGGCTTCGCCGACTTGGAGCTTGAGGGCGGGAGGGGGTGACAGGGGGCGGAGCCAGCGTTCCCGAGGGGCGCGAGGGGCGGGACCAGAGAACGCTTGGGCTGTGAGGGGCGGAGCTTTGAGAAGGCGGGGCCGGGACGCTTCGGGGCCTCAGGGGCGGGGCTAGGGGCGTCGGGGGCTGCGAGGGGCGGGCCTGTGGGGCGTGGCCAGGGGCGCTTGGGGGCCTGGGGACGGGGCCCTCTGGGGGGCGGGGCTAGGGGACGCTCGGGGGGCGCTCGGCTAGTCCCGCCAGAGCGCGAGACGCCAGGTCGTAACCGTCGCCAGGGTGAGGGGCGGTAGGGAAAGAAGAGGGGGTTAAATTATATTTTTTAAAACGGAGAGCCAGAGGCATCGGCGGCCCAGGTGTCGCAGCTTCCTGCTACACAGGGCTTGGCGTCCAGGTCCCTCCCTCCTCACGCCCCCTCCCCTTCTCCTGCCCTCCCCTCTGGAGCCCTGCGGCGCTTAAGAGGCGGCTTGCGGCGATCGGGCGGCCCCTGCGGCCCGGGCGGCTGCGGAGAAGGAGGGAGGGAAACACAAAGCCGGCTGCGCGCTGCGAGGTAATCCGGACGGGAGAGGAGGCGCCGTCGTCCCGCCCCACCTCTGGGCCGGGACGCGGGCGCCCGCGCGGGGGCTGGCTGCGGGGACTCTACTGGGGGTCACTAGGGAGTGGGGAGTGCGACGGCTGGCGGGGCCGAGGGGACTTCCTATTGGCTGTTCTCGCGGCCTCAGGTGAACCCCTCTGCGGGGCAGGAATGGGAGCCTCGGGCGGGCGGGCGGGAGGGGAGCGTACCTGCAGAGCAGGGTCCTGGGGTGCAGTCTCGGCGCGCTGCCGAGTGGGCCTGATGCGTTCGGGCGTCCTCTCATTTTCCCTGGGAGGGCGAGGAGTTCTAAAAATCGAGTGCTAGCTGAGGCTTAGGTGACCCAGGGACCTTAAGCTCTGAAGGTGCTCTCTAGGAGGGTGCGAGATTCCCGCGCTTGGAAAAGGTGGAGGAAAGGGAGGGAGTGTTGGTTTGTTTAGTTTTGTTTTTCTACCCATTTAAGAAACTTCTGTTACAAGTTGAAAATGTTCAACCACCTTCTCTTCTAATCCACATTCCCCCAACACACACAGACACACAAACACACCACCCCTACAAACGTATACACGTTAAGTTGCGCTTCCTGCTCGGGGTGACAAGCAAAGTTGGCAGTAGATCTGGTTTGCTGGTGTTTGGGGCACGTCCAGCCTCTTTGGAGGTATGCTATTATAGCTGAGGCAATACCACAGGTAGAATAAACTGGGCCTCTTTTAGAATGGCAAGAATGGCCTCAGGTGAACTTTTTTGTTGCAGAGATTTAATTGCAAGTAGTTGCCCGTTTAAAATGGGAGCGTAAGGAAAACCACTAATTTCCTTGGCACATGTGTTGTTGCAGTTAACCTGCAAGAGTGTTTCGGAATTTAACTCAACCAAGAGGCTTTGAGGGAGGATTATATGCAAGGTTGGTGAAAGAATTGATAATATTCTGGGATATGGGACTAGCTACGTACACGTGCACGTTTATGTTAAATTATGTGACATTTTAGATTTAGCAGCATTAGAAGATTGTTTTTCTTGGAATGCATTCTTTCTACATTGTGCTGGGTACATCTTAATTTTGGTTTTAGAAGACTTCTAGTGAGAGTATTGTTGGAGAGAATAAAAAGAGTACACTGTGGTTTGTCATTTTTAAATTAAGGTACTTGACTATTGAAAAGATTTGTATAAGTTATGGGACTGACCATTTCATAGAGTTAAATAATTTTGGAGCATTTGTAGAAAGTTTTTACATCTAAGTCTCCATTACATTATACTTGCATTGTACCTCATTTTCTTCTGCCTAAGTGGAGCAGATTAACTTTACCAAGGGAGGAGGATCAACAAAAAAGGCCACAAGTGCTGGCAATGCTGGTAATAGTTGTTTTTAAAGAAAAAACAGTGGTATATCTATTTTGAATGTTAAACATAATATAAGGAGTTCTGGAGATAATCGATTATGAGACATTCAGTATGTTGCAGCTTTTTACATATACGATATCAGGAAATGTTTGGTAAGCATTTGACATGACATAGGTGATCATATGACATCTGGGAAATATTAATTTTGCATGACAGAAAGGATTGTATTTTCAGAATGTAAGTCTTAACCATTGACTGAAAATGTGAAAATTATACACTTTGCTATTTTAACCCCTTTTGTCAGTGTTTTACTGGGATGAATTTGAGTTCTGCTCAATGATGTTTAAAGTGTGGATTTGGTCTTTGTAAAGCCAGAATGTCTTTTGAGACTAAGAGAACATAACAGCCCATCTCCTACACACAATCCTAAACCTAGGTACAGGGTGGTGTCCAGCTTCTAAGATTGTGAGGCTTCCAGAAGTAGGCCTATCATGTCTGAGTGCTTTTGTCACATGTAAGCCTGCAGATGGTTAGCTGATTAATCTCCATCTCAAAGCAGTTGGTTAGCAAGTACTGGGCAGCATATATGTATGTCATCAGGGTATAAGCAGCATTTCTGTTGAGGGAAGAAATCATGTAAAAGCATAGCAACCCAACTCTGAACAGAGTTTGTAGAATGTTGGGGAACAGTCATAACTGAACTGTAGCTTAACCAAATTGTTGCACGTAAAGTGCTTTGAATAAGGTCTGTACTCAGTAAGTGATTTATGTGGGTTTTTTTTTTTTTTGTTTTTTTTTGAGTCAGAGTCTCTGTTGCCTGGGCTAGAGTGCTGTGGCATCAACCTAGCTCACAGCAACCTCAAACTTCTGGGCTCAAGCAATCCTACTGCCTCAGCCTCCTGAGAAGCTGGGACTACAGACATGCGCCACCATGCCTGGCTAATTTTTTCTATATGTTTTTAGTTGTCCAATTAATTTTTTTCTATTTATAGTAGAGACAGGGTCTTGCTCTTGCTCAGGCTGGTTTCGAACTCCTGACCTTGAGCGATTCTCCCACCTCGGCCTCCCAGAGTGCTAGGATTACAGGCGTGAGCCACATCGCCCTGCCGATTTATGTGTTTATCATTATCAATATATAAAATGGCATGTCCTTTTGAAGGCCGTTACATCATGCTACTCAGCATGTGAAGACTTAGCAAATATTTGAAACAGCCAGTATTTATTTGCTTTACCTCTGTGCCAGGCACTATTCTAAGAATTTTATGTGATTTAATTTACTTTATACTTCCAACAACCCAGTGACTAAACAGAGGGAGGGATGAAGAGGTTAAGTATCTTCCCCGAAGATGTACTGCTGTTAGGTGGCACAGGCTGGTTGTGAACCCAAAGTCTGTCTCAAGAGTGAGCCCATGTAACCGCTGCTGTTTTTTCACTCATGTTAATGGTTGCAAATCAATGAAAGGTCTTCATGTATTCCCAAGATTACCAGGTGCACATGGCTTGTTTAACCATACCGTCTTGTATTAATACCACCAGCAGGTTGTGCTTAAATCTGAAGAGTGGTGATTATTCTGCATTAAGTAGAATCACCTTTTGACTTTGGAAGAGGATTCTCTTCTGATACACACAACATATGTTTAGCTAGGATGCTAGAGTTTGTGCTAGAATATGTTATCTTTTTAGTTATTAAAGATATTAAAATCTTTTTTTTCCAAAAAAAAGCTTGCCAGTTATGTAGGCAAGTACTGGGCTATGCTATTGCCCATTGGAGATTCTGGATCTTCACTAAATCAATAGACCTGATCATCCTTGTGATTACCAATACCATATCAACCTGAGATGGATTTTAACTTAAGTTTGTCCTAAATACCACCTGAATTGTTTCCTAAAATAAACCATAAATGAGAAGATGTAACTTGTGGCTCATATATACTTTTTCACTCTTGTTCCTCAAGGAACTATGTGTTGCTGCTTCACCATTATAATTGATATGTCAAGCAAATTGATGATAACCTAAACTAGCTCTTTTAAGTAACGTTTAGAATTACTGTAGATAGTTGATATATCCTTTGTTGTACTTTAGTGAAAAGTAATGTTAGGAAAAAAATGTTTAAAAACAAGCGTATGTTGAATTAAGAAAGTGCAAACTTTATTGAAGACATAGGTTACTAATCTGTTTCTCACACTAAATTAGCACTACCTTTTTTTGCTATAACTAATTTTTAGTGCTGTTTCAAATTCCTTTGAAAATATTAAATATGGAGAGTTTGAATAGAAAAAACTTTAAATGTCTAATCAAGAGTGCTATATTTCCTTTTAAACAGACTTAATTTGAAATTAGTATTCAAATTCCATTTGAAATTGAACCATCATAGACTCTGTCATGTCACTGAGATTCAAAATGAGTGCCTTAATACTTTATTTCATGTCTTCTATGTTAATGCTCTATCGTTGGAACTTAGGGTCCTTGCCAGAATATTTATAGGTGAGATTGTTAAGAGGTCTTTCAGGTTCTGCCAGAGATTAAATTCTCTTGGCTAAAAGCCAAGAAAATTTCAAAGTTTTACTATAATGGGTTGTACATATCAAGAATCCTCTCTGAAACATACAGGTTAGTAGTCTTTCATTGACTTTGGCTTAAAAGAAAAAGTCTGTTATCCATTAGCTGAATTTAATTATTTTTTCCATCTCGCAGTAGATAATTATGGACATGTGGATATATGTAACCATACCTCTTGGGGGATTTTTCTTTCAGGTAAAGTTAAAATTTATTCACCTGGCATTTATGTAATGAGTATTTATTGAGTGCCAGCAGTACAAGATATATAGTCTTTGGCATTTATTTATATCTTTTTATTTATTTTGAGACAAGGACATGCTGTATTGCCCAAGCTGGTCTCTAACTCCTAGGCCCAAGCCATCTTCCCCCTTCAGCCTCCAGAGTAGCTGGGACTACAAGTGTACACCACCACACCCAGCTTATATCTTTATAATGGGGTTAGATCTAAATTGAGCTTTTACTGATCTGCATTGCCACCATATACATTATTTACTTTTTTTAAAGTTGGCTTTAGAGCTTAGTTGAAAATGGTAAGACTCACTGATATGAGATGAACTTTGAAACCTCTTTGTTTCGATTCCCTGAAACTGTGCCTGAGGATATTGGTATATAGGCAGTACATTAACTAGGATTTAAGGTTGCTACCTCCTTGAACAAGACTAAGGTTTGAACCTAGAGTTATTAAACTTACTTTTTCTATAGTAAGCATACGTGGTTTCCATAGAATAAAAATGTCCCACAACCAGCCAGAGGGTAAGAACACTTTTGAGAAATTTAAGGGCAATAACATAAATGTCTTTAAAATCAATGTCTCAAGAATTATATATATTAATAAAACAATAAAATTTTAATGCTCACAGTATACATAAGGCAAGCAATGGGTTAAGCAAGATAAAAATTTAACTCCAAGTAACATGCACGAATTTGTTGTTTATTTTTTGGCTCTTATACCCCTTTAAATTCTTACAATTTCTTACTCCCCTGTCCTCACCAAGGAAGTAAGCACTTTTGTTTTGGGATGGAAGGGGAAAGGACAGTGCTGGTGTGAGTGACTGAGCATGTTTAACCCAGCTTCCATGGC